TGCATTTTCATCAGTTGTCAGAGCAAGAACATCCAATGTTAGCAGCATTGACATCTGGCCCCCCTTACAAAGAGGACAAATCCTGCAATTTAAACAAAATCATAGGTTAAGGGTTGCCCCTTTGTTTGTTGGGGTGTTTCTCATAGAATCTATTAAGGAGTCTGTCACTAGATTTCACCCATGTGGTTTCAGACAATGGATATTCTTTCCACTGCACTAAGTACTGTAACTTTTTCTTAAAAAGTCTAGAATCAAGAATACGCTTCACTTCATAATGAGTCTGTCCAGCTACCACGAGAGGCCCAGGTGACTTCTTAGGGGGAGGCCGTAAGGTGGAACCCCAAAAAGGTTTCAATAGGCTACAATGGAACACAGGGTGGACTTTCCCTAGGAGTCTGGAAAGCTTTAATTCTACCATGACTGGGTTAATGATTCTTACTATGGGGAAGGGACCCAGGTACTTGGGTCCTAACTTCTTACTAGGCAACTTAAGTCGTAAATATTTTGTGGATAAATAGACTTTCCCCCCAACTTGGAATGATTTTTGGGGAGTCCCTTTTTATCGGCTTGCTTTTTATACATCTCAGAAGCCTTTTTCAGAATGATTTTCGTGTTTTTCCATACCTCCTCCCATTAAAGATCCATCGGCTTGCTTAAATTTCACAGGTTTGGAGATCAACTTTGCTCGTATGCCCAGTTTGAGGGCAACTGGCAAGTTAATAATGCACTGGGAGCACCCTGAGTCCACTAGCACTTTCAAATCTACTCGTGCACCTGTCTTGGGGACTATGAGTTTGGCTACGAGAGAAAAAGGTGGAACGGGTTGACTCACCATCGGGTCGTTCTCCCCCTCGTCATCGCTGTCATAGGAGGGCAGAGTGGTGGTGGGTCCAGCTTGGACCTTGGCACTCTCCTGTGTGGGTGATGTAACCTGGACAATGGGTCCTTGCATGGTCCAGTTTGACTTCTCTTTCGCCGGCTGCTGGACTGGTTTCTTCCTCGCCAGTGGTCCTGATCTGCTCTGTTGTTGGGGGTATGAGACCGGGCAGCTCGCTGCTCAGTGTCCTTGTTGCCCACATCTGAAGCATTTGATTGGTGGACCGGCAGGTGGTATGGGGGGCTCTGCAGCCACGATGGCTGAAGGCTTACGTGGGGGGGGGTTGGTCTGTTCTGGCTTCTGCCCAGCTTCTTGAGGTGGTAGCTTCTTATAATGAGCTAGCTCAACATCCAATCTTATTGCTGTCTGGTACCACTCTTGCAATAGGTTAGGGACAGCTTGATAGACACAGGCTTGGGAAAGGTGATTGTCTAGTCCCTCCTTGAAGTGGTGCACTAGAGACTGTTCAGGCCACCTTTCTATTCGACCTGCTATCTTACGAAATTCTCATACGTATTCCAGAGCAGGTCTGCCATCTTGTTTTATCTTGTGTATTTGTGTCTCCACTTTGAGAGCTATGGATGGGTCCTCGAACCTGGTTCTTAGTCCAACGAGGAAGAGGTGGAGGTTCCCGAACTCAGGTGCCTGCACATTGTACAAATTGTTTAGCCACTCAGATGCTTCCCCTTCCAAATTGGCCATGACTGCATCAACCATAGCAGCTGGATTAGGGTAGAAATTGGCATTGCTATTCACGTAGGAACACATTTGATTTAGGAAGAAGATAAGTTTCTCCAGTTCACCATCAAAAGTCACTCTGAGGGGTGGTGCCATCATGGGTTGCTGTCCCCCCAGCTTGGCTGCATTCCCAGTGGTTGCTGGCCTCCCTGCTGTGGCTGTTGCTTCCCCAGCGGAAGCTGACCTCCCAATGATGGCTGTGGCATCTCCAGTTGCTGCAGGCCCCCCCAGTGGTTGCTCCACATTCAGGGGCTGTTGCCAACCCCACTGCTGCTGCACTCCAAATGGCTGCTGACCTCCTGGCGGTGGTGGCTGTGGCATCTCTAGCTGCTGCAGGCCTCCCATCGGTCCCGGCGCGGGTTGCTGTGCCATCCCCAGTTGCTGCAGGCCCCCCAGTGGTTGCTGCAGATTAAGAGGTTGCTGCCAGCCCCACTGTGCTCCTGTTGGTGGCTGCGGCATCCCCAATTAATGCAGGCCTCCCAGCAGTTGCTGCACACTCAGAGACTGGTACCAGCCCCACTGCTGTGGCACCCCCACCTGCTGATGACCTCCCAGTGGCAGTAGCTGCAGCATCCCCAATGGTTGCAGGGGCCCCAACAGCTGTGGTGCTCTCACCTGTTGCTGCCTGGCCAACAGATCATGCAGCTGTTGCATTATATCATGTTGAATGCTCACATCTGAGTCTTCCCCCTGCATAGGCTTCGGGCGTGGGTGGTACTGACGGAGAAGCTCTGGGCTATGTGACCGATGGTAGCGATGGTCAGGGCTTTCATGGTACCTGTGGCAATCTGGACTTCTAGAGGAGTGATGATGTACCGGGCTGCCGTGTTCAGAGCGGCAGCTGGGACTGACCCTCCTTGCAGGGCTGGAGGTTAATATTGGCAGCTTCGAAGATGGGGAAGCTGCTTGTGCTCCATAGGTGGAGCTAGGGCTTCTTTTAGGTACGGATTGGCATCTGCTCTGCTGATTGTTGTGATCACTTGCATGGGAAGAGTGAGAGGGTTGCTCCCCACTCTTCATCTCTAGCCCCTCAAACCTCTCCACCAACTTTTCCACTGATTGGCTACAGGCCACGGACAGGTACTTCCATTCTCCAGAGTCCTCAGTAGTCGTCAATTTCTGATTCTTCAGCGGCTCGGGGAACGCGATTCTCGAGAGGTTCCTTCTTGCAAATCAACTTCGGATGCTTTCAAAGAACTTGCTTTTGGCAGGGTCGTCTCGACAGGGGTTTGGAGTCTCCACTGGGCAGGATCCACTCTGAAGACCAGATCAGCTCCTGCATTTTGGGTCTCACCCCCAGCTGTAAGGCCTGGGAAGATTCCTTCTTCACTGGTGCACTGGCTTGCGCTCCCTCTGCTGAGGTGGCAGCCATGGGGTGCTGGATCCAGGCACTTCTTCCTTTTCCATGTTGAGATCCTCCTTGAGTCTTTGTCAGCCTGTCCCTTGACTTAGGGATGGTGACTGGAGCTCAGGACCCCAATGTGGTTAAGGTAGAAAATTGTAGTTTGGGGGTTAATGTCATGGTTCTGATAGATGAAACCCATCAAAAGAAATTTGAGGCAAACTTCTTTAAAGTAGATTTATTCAGGATACAAAGTATCGGCACTACATAGTTGAACCCAAAAACTAAATTCCCTTCCCCCAGATACAAAGTAACAAAGTATAATTCCCACCCCCAATTAACTGTCATAAATCACATTCCCCAATTAGCTTAAAGCGCCTGCTTTCTCATCAGCTCCACAGCCTGCCAAAACGTTATCACAGCAGCGTTATTATGGCTAACTGAGCTTACATTCCAACCCCCCCTCTCTGCTGCACCTAATTTCTAAAGTAAGAAAAAGCATGTTAAAGGAATAGAGAAAATGGCTGCATTTTCATCAGTTGTCAGAGCGGGAACATCCAATGTTCGCAGCTTTGACAGATAGTTCTTGAGATGTTTTAGATTGCAATTCCTATCCTTTTTATATGGTACAAATAGGAGTCTAAGTTACTGGACTACATATTTGTCCAGAGTTTGAGTAACATACTGAACTACATATAGACTTGACTTACAACTGCAATTGAGCCCAACATTTCTGTTGCTAAGTGAGACATTTGTTAAGTGAGTTTTGCCCCATTTTACATCCTTTCTTGCCACAGTTGTTAAGTGATTCACTGCAGCTGTTAAGTTAGTAAAACAGTTGTTAAGTGAATCTGGCTTTCCCATTGACTTTGCTTATCAGAAGGTGATAAAAGGTGATAACATGATCCTAAGACACTGCAACTGTCATAAATATGAGTCAGTTGCCAACCATCTGAATTTTGATCACATGGCCATGGAGATGCTGCAATGGTCATAAGAGTGAAAACAGTCAAAGATCATTTTTTTCAGTGTCGTTGTAACTTTGAACTAATAGCTAAATGAACTATTGTAAGTCAAGGACCATCTGTATATAGCTAGTATAAGAGAGTTTCTATGTTCCTGTTAAATGTTAAATAATGCATTTCACAAAAATGGAAAGTCTCCTTCATGATATATTTTCAAGTAAACAAGACTCACCCCCAATATTTCTGAAACCTGTTCAACTATATGTTTGATTTTCCAGAATAAAAGACAAATACAGCAATTTTAAATGTTTAAATGTAGAAAAATATTTTGAACTTATTTTGCTGCTTGTGAAAATACATTCTTATGCATAAGCATGCTAAAAATGTTCAATATTTTTTCTAATGCTCAAGGAGTATAGTTTGTATTCAAATACTCCTTCAACTACAAAAGAGTAAACACCCTACCTCAGAAGTTCCCAACCTTTTGGACACAAGGGACCGGTTCCGTGGAGATATTTTTTTCCGTGGACTGGGGAGTGCATGGTTTTATGTGCTACCTGTATCCTGCATATGGGGCTGGTTGCTGGCAGGCCATGGCCTGGTACCGGTCCATGGACCGAGGGTTGGGGACCCCTGCCCTACCTTAACGTTTACTGCAAATTAAAAATGCCTCAGATCAATAATATAAATTTGGCTTTGTTGAATTTCCTTCCAACTTTTCTTTAAGTTAAATTTAAGTAAATTGGTAATGACATTGAGTTTCGTTATTAGATTTAGGTGTAGTACATGGCATTTCTTGTCCAATTTTTAATATGCTGAAAATGAAATATATAATGGACATGGTAGCTTATGTTTAGTATGATTATTAAAGCATGGCTGCTAGTGGAGAGGGATAGAGTATTCCATTATGATTCATGAATGAGCTGTTCTTGCACCCTGTTGCTTATTTTGTAGCAATGGATAGAGAGAATAAAATTGTGGCAAAATAATATAACTGTATATATTTTTTTTAAAAATAACTATTATTAGCAAAAACATAATCCTTTCTCTTTCTCCCTTTTCTTCCCTGGCAGGGTTCTACATCATGGTGGAATTAACTCAAATGGGTCCCTCAAATGGATTTGCACAGTAGGCTCTAAGTATCTGGGTATCTTATCTTCTTGGATACATATCAGCATTAAATACAAGAATCAAGGGATGGGCTATAGCCAGAATAAGTCCATCTGCTGAGACACCTACCACATTTATATTGGGTTTTCCCTGCTTGACCAAGAATATTTTACATTTTCCTTGGTAAATTATTCTCTTCCTGCCAACTGATTCCTCCTTTTTCTGATTTTCGCTGTCGTTTTGGTTTCTTTCTGCAAAAAATATTTTTCTTCCTGGGTGTGAACGTCCTCAGGACCTGCTAATGCTGATGTGAAACCATGTCAAAGCCAGTGGGACTCTTATGGCTGCCTTTGATTTTTAATCCTGTTTGTGTCATGCTGAATTCTAATTTCCTCCTTTGGATAACTGCCCTAGCAATACGTTTTACGTTTATTGAGGGACAAGCACAATACCCAGTTGTAATTACAAATTATGGCAAAATCCGTGGTGTAAGAACACCCTTGCCCAATGAAATCCTTGGTCCTGTGGAACAGTATTTGGGAGTCCCTTATGCTTCTCCTCCAACTGGAGAGAGACGTTTCCAACCCCCAGAACCTCCTTCATCATGGACTGGTATACGGAATGCCACACAATTTGCTGCTGTTTGCCCACAGTATCTGGATGAGAGGTCGCTGCTTAATGATATGCTACCAATTTGGTTTACTGCCAACTTGGATACTGTAATGACCTATGTGCAAGATCAAAATGAAGACTGCCTTTATCTGAACATCTACATACCAACTGAGAATGGTAAGTATATTCACTAACCATGAACTGGCCAGTTGGCCAATTTGCACAATTTATTGAAGCATACACTGTAGGAATTCTGCAGTGACCTATGTGAGGAACTATAAAAATATTATTGGTTCTTATTAGATTAAAACATTATAAGAATAGCCTGTATTACTTGTTCACATTTGTTACATGCATTTATGATATTAGTCCAATTTTCCTTTCAAAGAGTGTTCTATGTCAATCTCTGGTTGTTCATAGAGGAAAAGTCAAGATATAAAGTAAAAAAAAAAATACAAATAGCTCTATAACTATTTAAACAAAAATAAACAAATTTTTAATATTTTAAGAATCTATAGTAATATATTATGCAAGCCTTGAAATGAAAAAAAATTTTATACTTTATTTTAACAGAAAACTTTTGAATGATCATTTTTAGATAATTTCAATTTTTAGAAGTTCCTGACTTTTTATTACTTTAGAATAAATAATACATTTATACGGCATAGAAATATTTTGATTTTTAAGCTGTCAGAATTTTAATAGCTCTGTGTATATATAGAGATATATAATTTTTAATTCAGACAATTGCAAATAAGCCAATCAATAACTATAACAAAATAGCCAAGAGTTATTATTAATTGTTTCACATAAGTATCCTTCCCTAATGATTTTTCTATGGATTATTTCTATTGCAAATATTTATTATATTCTTTTTCTTATTATTATAGTTTTAAATAATCCCTCATTAACATTCTTACCAATAGCCTTAGCTTTGTTATTCCTTACCCAAAGATAATTATTTACATAGCAAATAGCTTTTGGTTCTATTATACAGAATAATATAAAATTGTCCTTTAGATGTGTATTAGTAAAATATTTAAAACAGATCATTTCAATTTCCTTTTGTTCATAACAATAGATTCATCACTATCTATGTACCTTGCATAAATTGTTTATTTAAAATAGCAAAGTACTTGAGGCCTCTATCACTATTCTGGTTTTGTTTTGTTTTATTTTGCTTTGTTTTTTTGCTTTGATTCTGCCTTTATTTTAGATTCTGTTGAGTGTTGGTAGTGCTGCTGGTATAATTAATTCTTACTTCATACCTTTAAAAAAGAAAAATGAAACATTACTATTACTATTGCTGCTACTCCTACCAATAATGTCAAAAAACCAACACTTAAGCCAGGGGTAGTCAACCTTTTTATACCTACCGCCCACTTTTGTATTTCTGTTAGTAGTAAAATTTTCTAACTGCCCACCGGTTCCACAGTAATGGTGATTTATAAAGTAGGGAAGTAACTTTACTTTATAAAATTTATAAAATTTATAAAGCAGAGTTACAGCAAGTTAAAGCATATAATAATAATTACTTACCAAATACTTTATGTCGGACTTTTGCTAAGTTTGGCAGAATAAATATTTATAAAACAAGTTACTGTAGTTAAATCCATCTTTTTGTTTATACTTTGCATACATAGAAGCATGAAGTCTGATGAAATTACATTTAATTAATTAAATTATTAATGAGATCTCTGAGGCTGAGGCTGCGAAACTAAATACTGGATATCTGGCTCAATTTTTGTAAGGAACAAACGAAGGTCTCCTCTTTCGGAAATATTCAGGCGGTTTCTTTCTTTGGTCATAATATGATTAACAGCACTAAAGCCTGATTCCACAAGATATGAGGTAGGGAAAGGTATCAATAAACTGAATATCATTTTCCACATATTTGGATATAAGAC